CCTTACAAGGTGATTGCTATGGTGAATTGAGTCCACTTTCCCCCACCCCCCTTCTAAAATTCATACGTTGAAATCCTAACCCCCAGTGCCTCAGAATATGACCTTATTTGAAAATAAGGTCATTGAAGATTGTAATTAGTTAACATGAAGTCACACTGGAGTTGGATGCTTCCCTAATCCAGGTCTGACTGTGTCCTTATGAAAAGACATGTGCTATATAAAGAGACAGATACATACAGAGGTATAATAATGTAAACACTCAGGGAAAATGCCACCTACAAGCCAAGGGACATCGGAGGCTGCCAGAAGCTGGAAAAAAGATATGGAACAGATTCTCCCTCATAGTCCTCAGAAGGAACCAATGCTACTGCCACTGATTTTGAACTTTTAGCTTTCAAAAAAAAAAACAAATTTTTTTGAGCTGCTCAGTTTGTGGTGCTGTTATGACCAGATGGAGGCCTTGCCTATGGCAGCTACAAACACAAAGCACAGAGGCTTACACCTGTGTGCTTGGCCCACTGGTTCTGACAGTGGAGACAGGCACTGCAGTCAGGAAGCAGGAAACAGCTTTCCTCCCCCAAGGCAGCAGCGCCGCTCCCCTGCAAACCCCCAACATCACTCCAAGGGCTGAGCAGCTCCAGAGACTAGAGCTTCTGGACACTTTAGGGCGCCATATACAAATATGAAATGTCAAAGGAATCTGGTTCAACCCAAAATCTCACAAACCCCAGAAAAAGGCCCAAGTGAAACTGAACTCACCAGTCTTTCTAAGAGTTTTCAAAATAAAAATCATAAACATGCTCATGGAGGTACAGAAAAATATTCAAGAATTCAGGGACGAATTTAGGATGGAGATTCATTAAGAAACTCCATATCTGAAATGAAACATACAATGGAGGAATTTAAAAGCAGATTAGATGTAGTGGAAGAGAGAGTAAATGTAATAGAAATTAGAGAACAGAACTATAAAGCAACTGAGGCACAGAGAGAAAAAAAGGATCTCTAGGAATGAAAGAATACTGAGAGAACAGTATGACCAATCCAAACGGAACAATATTTGTATTATAGGGGAACCAGAGAAGAAGACAGAAAGGGACAGAAAGTGTCTTTGAGGAAGTAATTGCTGAAAACATCCCCAATCTGGGGAAGAAGATAGTCTCTCAGGCCATGGAGGTGCACAGATCTCCCAACATAAGAGACCCAAGGAGGACAACACGAAGACATACAATCATTAAAATGGTAAAGATCAAGGATAAGGCAGACTTTGAAAAGTGGCTAGAGAAAAAAGATCACATAAAAAGGAAAACCCATCAGGCTATCATCAGACTTCTCAACAGAAACCTTACAGGCCAGAAGGGAGTGGCGTGATATATTTAATGCAATGAAACAGAAGGGCCTCAAACCAAGAATACTCTACCTGGTAAGATTATCATTTAAATTTGAAGGAGGGATTAAACAATTTTCAGATAAGCAAAAAGCTGAGAGAATTTACCTCCCACAAACCACCTCTTCAGTGTATTTTGGAGGGACTGCTATAGATGGAAGTGTTCCTAACGCTAAATAGCTGTCTACAGGGGAAATAAAACCACAGTAAAGAAAGTAGAACAATTAATTACTAAGCAGATGCAAAATCAAATCAACTACCCCCAAAGTCAATCAAGGAACAGAGTACAGAATATGATATCTAATATATAAAGAATGGAGGTGGAAGAAAAGAGGAGGAAAAAAAAGAACCTTTAGCTTGTGTTTGTAATACCATACTAAGGGAGTTAAGTTAGACTGTTAGATAGTATGGGAATTACCGTTGAACCTTTGGTAACCACGAATCTAAAGCCTGTAATGGCAATGAGTACATACCTATCGATAATCACCCTAAATGTAAATGGTCTGAATGCACCAATCAAAAGACATAAGAGTCACTGAATGGATAAAAAAACAAGACCCGTCTATATGCTGCCTACAAGAGACTCAACTTTAAACCCAAAGACATACACAGACTGAAAGTAAAGGGATGGAAAAAGACATTTCATGCAACAAAGAGGGAGAAAAAAGCAGGAGTTGCAGTACTTGTATCAGACAAAATAGACTTAAAAACAAAAAAGTAACAAGAGGCAAAGAAGGACATTACATAATGATAAAGGGCTCAGTCCAACAAGAGCATATAACCATTATAAATATATATGCACCCAACACAGGAGCACCTACATATGTGAAACAAATACTAACAGAATTAAAGGGGGAGATAGAATGCAATGCATTCATTTTAGAAGATTTCAACACACCACTCTCTCCAAAGGACAGATTAACCAGACAGAAAATGAGACAGAGGCAATGAACAACATATTAGAACAGATGGACCTAACAGACATCTACAGAACTCTACATCTAAAAGCAACAGGATACACATTCTTCTCAAGTGCACATGGAACATTTTCAAGAATAGATCATATACTAGGCCACAAAAAGTACCTCAGTAAATTAAAAAAGATTGAAATTGTATGAACCAGCTTCTCAGACCATAAAGGTATGAAACTAGAAATAAATTATACAAAATGAAAAAGCCCACAAACACATGGAGGCTTAATAACATTGCTCCTAAATAATCAATGGATCAATGACCAAATAAAAACAGATCAGAAATGATTGATTTGTAAATAGTTGAATAACCTTTAAAAATGGATTCAGTTTTGTAACTGGAAAGACCTTTCTCATATCAAGGTTATGGGGCAAAAGCATCTCCCTTTTTCTTCTAGCTTTGAAGTTTATTTTTTTAGCATTTAAATATGTGAGCCATCTGGAATTTACTTTGGTTTAAGTGGGAATAAGAATCTCCTTGCACTGTTACCACCACCCCCTTACTAGTTGTCCCAGCTCCATTTACTGGATAATAAATATTTTGTGGTAAAGAAATCTTTACTTGGTAAGTGCTTGTTTATAATAGTGTTCCTAACAGCTCAGTCCTGAAAAAACAGCGGTCAGACCTGTTCTCCTTGGGTGTTAGCTGATGAACTGGTGCTGTATGAGCCACACAGTTTGAATTCCATGACATGCTGGGAGACCTGCCTGTCCTCATGTGCTGCGATTCAGGTGGGACCTGATGCCCTTTAGATGTAGGAAGCCAGAGGCAGCCAAGGCTGACAGGAACAAAGTGCTTGTTTGCAAAATTCTGCCTCTTCAGCCTGGTCACTGCGAAAGGGTGATTTCTGTCGGCCTACAGTAGTAATGCCTCAGCTACCTGGGTTCCTGGATCACAGAATAACTGTGAAGGGGGCACTGGTGAGGATGAGAGGGAGCATAACAGAAATGGGTCCTTGACTAGGGGAGAGAAGTGCAGGGAAGATGCCTGTGAGGTCATCATGCTGCATTCTAAGACATCAGACCAGAAGGCAGCGCTTGACTCCTGGTAGCTTTCTGCCTCCAGGTCCTGCAGAGACCTACTGACTAGCAGATGTCAGGAGGGGGAAAGGCAAGGTGTGGAGATGGGCTGGACGGATGCAGTCCTGTTGGGTGTGTCCCTTCCACTCCTTTGAGACTGCCCCCGCCCACTCCTCCTCCTGGTCCTTCCATTCTCCCTTTTCTGGTCAACTCTGGTTCTCATTTGGCCAGGCAGAACATGCCTGTGGCTCAGAATGGCAGGTCCAGGTGCCCAGCGTTAAATGGTCTGTCTCCCTACCCACCCGGCCACCAAGGCACAATCAGCATTGTGGTCCTCAGTTGGGCAGCATGAGTGAGTCACATGTAAGGTTTATGAGTGATACCAAAAGGGACTCTGACAGTGGCCGTGTGTCCTGGTACCTTGTTCCAGAGGAACTGTGATGCTAAGTATGACCAGACTCTTCTCTTCTGGCTGTTAGGTTTCTTCTACCTAGGAAAGACTGCCAAAGTCAGAGAGCAAAGGGGTGTGAGGATGATGAACCCCTTAGTCTGGAAGGCTCCATGACTGGACTTAAAACTCTACTTTCCCAATTTCAATGCAATTTGGCCTAAGAAGCTGTAATTGTGTTTTGGCCCTCTCTGCCATGAGCCAGCCAGGTTAAGAGAAAATCGTTTCCTTGTTCTTGGCCTTATTTTCTTCTCAAATACAATTGGGCATTAGATTACATCAGTGATTTTCTCTTTTAAAGCCCTTTGACAAATAGAATGTTTCCCAGAAATTCCTGAGTAAGAGTGCTCAGTGCTAGCGGGTGTGGGGCCAGGAGCTCTGAGGGCAGCCTGAAGCCACTGCACTAGATGGTCTCTAAGGTCCTCTTCAGCGGGCCTAGGCAGGAGTCTTAACCTACCTGAGCCTGTTTCTTTATAAGTAGAGACAATAATACCCAGAAAGTGTGAGGGCTAAGAAGATGGTTGCCTATACAGTGCGAGCAGGGTTTGGAACACAGGGGTTCAGTCAGTGAGAGGGCCATTAGTGTCATCCGTGCCTTCCCGAACCCTCCTTTAAATGCCAGCCCAGGCACCACCCCTACCTTCCCTGCCACCTAGCTCTAGGAGTTCCCCATCCCTCTGACTCCCCACAGTCCTGGGGCTGTCTTGGGGGACTCACAGTATTGCTCTGGGCCAGTAGCTAGCATGTATGTCTGAAACAACCTCCGCAATCAAACTAAGTTCCTAAAGGGAGACATTTTCCTACCACAGCTCTTGATCCTCCACACTGCCTTATACACACATATTCAATAAATGTCTGTGGGTGACCAGCCCAGATGAGGATACGGAGGAGCTACAGCCATAACCAGAAATGTGGCCCTTAATTAGTATTCAGATGTTCCAAATGAGGGAAGGGGAATCACAGGGCCCTTGCAACTAAATGGGCTTAACCCTAACTGACAATCCCTAGCAGCTTCCTGTTGAGGAGTAACAAATTCAATGACAGAGCAAATTCCCAAGTTCATTCTAGCCAAACAGAGCAGGATCCTCATCACTGACCCGGCCAGCATCTAGCCTGTGCCTGCACTCCTGCCAGAAAATAAGACACTTTCCAAATCAAAGACTCCAAAAAGTAAGGCTGGTTTCATGTTGCTTGTCATTTATTAATTCAGTGTGTTCTAAGTTGCACAGTTATGAAAGTAACAAAACCAAAGCTGGAAGCCCAAGAATATTTACACTCTCTCTCATGTAGTGAGGTCAGTCTATGGTGTTGCACACATTGGTTATACTTGGTACCACAAGATGTAATTCAGACCAAATCAGACAGATTAACAATTGTATGTACAGTAAAATAAGAGGGAATTCATTCAAGTATCAAAATACAGAGACGAGGATTAAATAACATTTTATTACAATTCAGTCCCACTGCCACACCATTAGCAGCAACACTTTTGTGAACTGCATCTCCTGACATTCTGCAGGCCTGGGCATCTCGAAAACCGAGGTCAGTCAGCTTTCTAACACCCTGACAGCTCCAACTGTGCTAGCCGCCTGCTCCACTAGAGGCTTCTCAAGGAACCCCACCTCTGGAACCTGATGCTACAGGCCCAGGGGCAGGGGGCAATGGCAGAGCCCATCATGAGGAAGTCCTGCTGCTCAGAGAAGCTGGCAAGCAGAAAGCCCATGGCCAGTGGCAGGTACTGACCTCATTGCAAGTCCCACCTAATCAGGCTCCTGCCCAGTTCAGGAACACGGTGACAGGATTTGCCACATTGTCTGACCTGCGCTCAGAAGCAGGGGCTTTTCCACTTGAAGCCTGTCCTTAAAGTTACACTATTCCTTTGTATGGAAGGGAGAGTACCTGCCCTGAAGAGGAGCAAAAGAGAAAGAAAGCCCCAGTCCCTTCCTTTCTTGACGACTCAGAAATAAGCCAATCTCAAAACAAAACCCAGGGCCAGGGCAGATCAGGCAAAGCTTTCCCATATGAAAACACCCTGAATAAATAAAGACATAGCAGCTTCAAGGGGAGGAAACACCTATATATGATTAATACAAACACAAAATGACAGCGTGAGGAGCTCGTCGTAGTGTCTACCCAGTTTTCTTTTTGGATCTACCATCTACCAAGAGAGGCCTACTTGGGTAAGAGCTGGTCTTCCTCAGGAGGACAGCACCGGCGCTGCACTGCACAGGGTGCCTGGTCAATTCTGAGAAATTGGGGGCTGAATACTGCATGGTGGGAGCTGACTAGAAGCCTCACTGGCCCTAGAAGCAGGAAGTGAAGTCAAACTTTCAGGTGTCAAGGCCCTTGTTTAGTACTGCTGAGTGGACAGTAACTTGCCCCTACTCCAGAGGGGAAGTGACCCCTAGGGCCTATGATGCCAGCTGGACAGCTCAGCAGAGAGGAGCCCCACAGGGCCCAGCCTCCAGCTTTCAATTTCTGGCCAACCACAGGGGTTGTGAATGTGCCCAAGAACACTCCCCCTACATATAACATAAGTATCGCTGAAGCCTGGCATAATGCTGCTGGGACCAGACTGCCCTGTGCCAGCCAAGCTTGCAGGCTGTGGGATTACCCATGGCGGAAAGGCTCCTTTCTGCTCCCTACTCCGGCTCTGCCTCTCGGCCTCACAGGAATCAACTCCTCTGTTTCTACTGTACTCCAAGAAGGAGAACACAGTTAAAAAGTGAAGCAATTTAAGTGACAGTGGTGCACTAGGACGCCAGCCTGCCCTGAAGGCCATGTCGTGGGAAAATCAAATTGACTGTTGCCTTATTTAGCCTCCTGTACACTTGGAGCCAGGAAGGAGCCCAGCAGCTGGAAATACAAGTCAAACCAATAATTCAGAGTATCAAAGTGAGTCCTATCAAAGTGAGCCCTGATTAGACAGATCACAAGTTGGCAGGTAGCAGTCTTAGTGGACCTACCCATTAATGCCCAAAACAAAGCTGCTTTTTCTCCTGACTTGACTCAGGCAGTCTGAGGTCGCCAGAGAGCTTGTGGGCCAGGCAGCCCAGGGCAGGGCTCTGACTACCACCAGGTCAGAGACTGAGCAGCGGACCAGAGCTCCAGCACGGCTCAGACTTCATGGCACCAGGGGCTGCTTGCTCATCTCCTTGGCCCCTGGGCCTTCACATTTGGAATCCAGAAATGGACCAGAGGCCTCTGCCTTTCCCAGGTGTCTCTCAAGCTGTGCTGACTGCAGGGGCTGTGTCCACCTCTCGATGGGGACAAGAAGCTGTGCAGTTCATGAGAACAGCAGCTAATGTGTGGGTTTGAAAAGCAGACTGACTAATAACCTACTCAGTGCTGTCCCTCGTGTGGATGCTTTCAGTTCTCATAGGCCACTGCCTTTTCTTCAGACCTACCAGCCCATGTCAGGACCCCATCCTCAGGACAGAGGGCTGGAGAGACTGGCCTTTTGGCCAGTCTCAGGATCCCTGTGCTCTGACCCTATGGCCGTTTGTCTAAAGATTGCCAGTTTAACCTAGAGGTTTGAGCCAAGTGTTAAAAGTTCATTTTATAAAAATGCGTTTTTCTATTAAAAATGTGTTCTGGACAAGTCACTTCTTGACCCTCTAGAGCTCAGTTTCATCAGCTAGAGGCCTGGAGCACAGCCAGGGCAGGGCTTGCTCTGTAAGCCCTGGTGGCGGCAGGCCCAGGCCAGGCAGCCCAGAGGAGCTCCTACAGGCAGAGGTGGGGCCTGGATCTTCAGAGCTGCGGATGAGACGCTGGTGGCAGCGACGGGAGCCTGTGCTCCCCACGTCTGTTTCCGCAGCACGTTTGGTTCCTCAGTGGCTCAGCTTGGCAGAAGCAAACACAACGGGGGGGGTGGGGAAGAAAAGGGTTAACCAAAGGGGCCTGCACAAGATGGAGGAAGCAGAAAGACAAGTGGGGGAGTAGAACAGAAGGTCCCTCACAGTCCCCCAAGGGCCCTGTGGCCTGCTCTTAGTGCTCCCAGGCCGCTGCCACCTCGGGCTCAGTGCATCTGTCCGGGAAGGCACAGGACAGGCAGCAGACAGGAGGCCCACCCTGCTTTAGCCGCTTGGGCTTCAACTCTCGAACTGCTGTAACTTACTGGCTTTCCCACTGGATGAGGCTGTGTCTGGCCAGCTTCCTACTGGAACCACTGCTTTCCTGTCTCCTGCTGTCTAAGCGGATTTGCCCACACCAGAGAATGTGGGCATCTTCCAAGCCTCAACTCCACAACCCCAGCTTCTGAACTGCTTGGAGGACATGAACTACACAGCCTCCTCTTAGAGGCGTCAAGAGGCTGGGGGCGGTAGACCAGGGGGGCTGGGTAACGGCTATCTGACCCCCATACTGTGGAGAAGTGTCAGCTCCTGGACGACAAGGGGCGTTGTTCGGCCAGGCCCCTTTCCTCGAGCAGTTCTGTTCTGTGAGGGGAAAAGGTGCTGCATGTGTGCAGGGCACAGGCCTCCCTCTTGCTGGGTTCTACAGAAAGGCCTTCCTCCTCAGTGAGCTAGACTCCAGAGCCAGTCTTGTGACTCACTGGTGAAGATGTGAGGGGCCGACCACATCCATGCCATCCCAGTCCTTGGAGTGGAAGACCCATTGGGACCAAGAAGCCTGCTGAGGGAAGCCAGCCTAAGGGTGTTCAGGTGCTCAGAGCCCTGTGCTCTGGAATCAGGTCTATTCCAGGGGCCTGGCACGGGCTTTGGGCCCTCACAGAAAGTTCAGGGTCTCACAGGGGGAGGCCAGCACCTTAGAGCACAGGAGCAAGGGACAGGGCTGCAGGCCAGCTGAGAACAGACTGCAGGGGGATTCTGGCACCAGATGGTCACAGTGGTTGGTAGTGTAGGGAAAAGCGATTAGCACTTGGCAGCGGCACCCAGCTGTGGCTCTGCGCAGAAGAGAGGATGGTGGACAGAGCTGGCCCGCTCAGAGGGAGTGGTCACTGGTACTGTCTGGACTCTGCTCAAGGACTGCGCCCCCCTCAGGATTCAGGATTCATAGTGCCTGCCCGCTGAGGCTTCCTGGGTGCAACGGGGCCCCCTTAGACTTCCTGGTGCCCACTGCAAAGGCAGTCCCGCCCCACCCCGCCAAGCTGCACTAGCCCAGGGGGGAGTTCACAGTGTCCGGTGGTGGTAGGTACAAGCTGGGAATATGCAGTGTCTAGAGCTGCTGCCCAGGAGAGCAGGTCCCGAGGGGGTCGGGGCCTTGGCGTCAGCAGCTGGAAGGAGAGTTGAGAACAGCAAACAGATTGGATGGCAAGGCACAGTGAGACTAGTGGAGACAGGGAGTGGGTGGTTAGAAGATAGTGGTCTCATACTTGGTGCTGAGGCTCCGCTTAGAGTCTGGTTTGGGGTCCACAATCCAGGAGACGCTGGCATGGGACTGGGCATCTGAGTCCATGTTGGGTGGGTCCAACTGCCAAGGAAAAAGAGTGAAGAGTCAGAGAGAGGTGCTGTGCCTTGGCCAGGGGCAACAGGGCCCAGCTGCCCCTTCCACACCCCGAGGCCATGGCTGCTCTCACGTCTGCATGAGGGGCATGACGCACAGACCTTGTTCTCTTCAGCCGAGGTGCAAGCTCCCTGGGGGTGGGATGGAGTGTGGCAGAAGTGACACCTTCCCTGGAGCACCATGGGAAGGCCACCTCTAGACCTCACCAGGGTCAACTTCTCCCAGGGATCCTTAGGGTTGCTCTAAGGAGCCTTGCCCTACCTGAACATCACGTTCTAAGCCCCAAATCTGTTCACAGTGGCAGGAAGGGGTAAGGGTTTTGAAACTCCAAGCCTCAGGTCCCTCTGCAGGGTCAGAAAGCGCACTCTCGGCAAGACCACAGCAGGCACCCCAGACCTCTGGAGAGAGGTCACATGGCAGAGGACAGAGGGCTAAAGCACAGACAGGGTCAACAGGAGGGCCGCTCAGGAAAGAACATCATGCAGGCAGAGCGGGAGGCCACTGTAGTCTCAGAAAGCTCACGGTCATTTCGGGGACTGACACATAGACAGCAGGAGATGTAAAGACCTTGACTCCAGGACTAACAGACGGCAACGGTAGGTAGGAAGGACGATGGGTGGTGCAGGTGTGACAGTAACAACAGCGACTATCGGGGGGCAGCAGCACCTGGGGTGCAGAGCAAAGCAGACACAGACAGGGGGTGCTGTTACTGGGGGCTCACCCATGGGCCATGTTGTCTGCAGCCCCACTGTGTCTGGGCCCTGGTGAAGCCTGGCAAGGGAGCAGGCAGGAAGCCCAGGGGTGGACAGCTGCCCACCTTATGTTAAAGAGGCTGCTGTTGCCTTCCTGGCAGAGAACAGGGACCTCACCCTCATGGTGGGCACCTAATTAATGGGCCATTTCCTGAGGGGCCAGCTGTCTGAGAGTGAGAAGCCCCTCCTCGTGCCTGACTCCACCCCAAGTCCTCAAATCCCGGGGCCAGTGGGGTGGGGAGTCTTGGTGACTGGGGCCACGTACCGCTGACTTCCTCATGCCCACCCGAGGCTTAGGCACGGGTTTGGAAGATTTTGTTTCAATCGTCTCAGCTGCAGAGGCCCCGGTGGGCCTGGACTTCTGGGCCTGCAGAGCTAGCTGATAGGCCACCTCAAATGCCTGCCCCAGAGTCAGGATAATCTCGTAGGTCAGATTCTGGGAGGAAATGGCAAAGTTTAAGCAGGTAAGACTGAGAAGCTGCTCATCCCTTTTCTCTAACACCTGTCCTACACCTGTCCTGGCCTCAGAGCCTGAGCAGCACGTGAAGAGGTAATGAGCCTATTGTGCTGAACATGTGTTGAGAACACAAATTTGTCCCAAGGTGATCTATACATTAGGGAACAATCTGAGCATAACATGCATTTGTGCTTCCGCATGCATGACTCCATCGGAGACAAACACTAGGTGAAGGCACAAAATGCACCCAGCCAGCCCAGCTCGCCTGGAAACACACAAAACGTGCCTGTGTCAGGATGACATTGAGCCACACTGCCCAGCCCTGGTGGCTCAGCTTCCTCACCAGGGCCCACCTGGCTGCTGCCCTGCAGCTCACCCTCGGCCCCGTCCTCCGACTGAACTGCTGCTCTTCTCTCTCTGTCTAGTCCCCTTTTGTCCTCTTGCTTGGGCATGCAGGCTGGCGGGAGGGCAGGCACACACTTCCACATATCATCTTGCAGTTTTCCTCAGGTAGAGTGTCACATTTACTGTAGTATGTATGTATTTCTTAACACTTAATGAATAAATGTGCTAAGTGTCTACCTTTTTCTAATGTGTCACTGACTGTTTCTGAGTGTTGTGCCCCTTTCTCCCATAACCCTGGTAATCTCACACCACTCAGTGATCCTGAGGAACACAAGTGTCGTGTTAGAGCATAACTGACTACTTGGAGAATGTAAGCTACACAGAAGAGTCCAGAAATTACAGGTACTGGGTGGATTACCTCATTTAATCTTCAAAACAACCCTTTGAAGTTGGTGCCATTACATCCACTTTACAGATGAGCTGCTGGGAGAAGTGACGTTTCTAAGATCACACAGCTAGCAAGTGGCAGAGCCAGGACTCTGCACCTGAGCAAGCACTGAGGTCCTGGGGCTGGGAATGCATGAACCATCTGTGTTCTAGAAGCCTCCAGAGATTTGGGAATTAGTTACTCTCCCTAAGGGCAATAGGGGCCTGGACACAAGTCAGTGGGTGAGGAGAGGGCCTGGGCCCTTGTCTCAGGGTAGAGGGAGTCTCTGCTGCACTCCTGTCCCTGGGGGCAGCATGTACCAATGGCTGCCCTCAGCCCGACAGCACCAGAGCCCAGCCTGAGAAGAAACTGCCAGGAAAGCACCATTGCCTGCAAGAGGGAGGAAGAGGGCATGGCAGGAAGGCTGCCCAGCTGGAGGGCTGGGGAATTAGGGTGGTGGGTTGACAAACAGTCCAGGGGAGACAGAGGCCTTGGCTGACCTAAGAAACACTTGGCTCAAGAAGCAGGAACCTATCATGAGAACCCTGGATAAGCCATCTGTTCTCTGCTTCTGTCTCATCACTGTAAAGGGGACTGGACTAGACTGGAAAGCTGCTGAGGCTCCAGGAACCAAAGTGCCTGGCGCAGGTGCCGGTATAGCACTGAGCTGAGGCTGCCTTGACGTAGTACCTCCGGCTGCAGGGCCCTACTCACCACGTCCACCGTGCTGAAGACATGGCAATAGTGGTGGCTGGTCTGCAGGTCCTTGGTGATGTAGGCAAAGGTACAGAGGTCCTCTGGGTCCTGGGCGGCACAGGAAATGTTCCGGATCTCATGCTCCGCGATGACATTCTGCCAGGAAAGGAGGGCTGGGATCCTCAGCTCCCTGAGGCCACGCCTCTCCCCACCTAGGACATTAACCCAATACCACTACTGCTCCCTGTTTTTGTTGGGTTGGGGTAGGGGGCAGTGTCTAGCCTCACCAAATTTAGGTTTCGGGTCTCCACCTTTGATCACAGCAACTGAGGGAGTAAAATGCTCACATCCCACCGCAGCTCCCAGCCCCTTCTGCCTTCTGGGTAATTGGGAGGTGGGGTACCAAGTGTAAGGTGTATGAGGAGCCCTTTGCTCACTAAAGGGTTTGCACCATTAAGAGCCTGAGAATGGGGAGGTGGGGCCGACAGCCCATGCTGAGGAAGGTAAGCTGTTGCTGTCACTAGAGCAGGGTCCTGGGATCAGGTTAAGTGGCAACTGAGAGTCATGCACCACACTGGGTGGTGGGAATGACGAGGAATAAAAAGGGCTGGGGACCCCACAGAAATACAAAGAATTATTAGAGAATATGCTAACAAGCTGGAAAACTTAGAAGAAATGGACAACTTCCTAGAAAAATACAACCTTCCAAGACTGACCACGGAAGAAACAGAAAATCTAAACAGACCAATTAACAGCAAAGAAATTGAATCGGTAATCAAAAAACTATCCAAGAGCAAAACTCCTGGGCAAGATGGATTTACCGTGGAGTTTTATCAGACATACAGAGAAGACATAATACCCATTCTCCTTAACATTTTCCAAAAAATAGAAGAAGAGGGAATACTTGCAGACTCATTCTATGAAGCCAGCACCACCCTAATACCAAAACCAGGCAAAGACCCCACCAAAAAAGAAAATTACAGACCAATATCCCTGATGAACACAGATGTCACTATTTGCAGATGACATGATATTGTACATAAAAAACCCTAAAGACTCCACTCCAAAACTACTAGAACTGATATCGGAATACAGCAAAGTTGCAGGATACAAAATTAATGCACAGAAAGCTGAGGCTTTCCTATACACTAACAATGAACTAATAGAGAAACCAGGAAAACAATTCCATTCACAATTGCATCTAAAAGAATAAAACACCTAGGAATAAACCTAACCAAGGAAGTGAAATACCTATACCCTGAAAACTACAAGACACTCTTAAGAGAAATTAAAGAGGACACTAACAAATGGAAACTCATCCCATGCTCTTGGCTAGGATGAATTAATATTGTCAAAATGGCCATCCTGTCCAAAGCAATCTACAGATTTAATGCAATCCCTATCAAATTACCAACAGCAATCTTCAATGAACTGGAACAAATAGTTCCTAAAATTCATATGGAACCACCAAAAACCCTGAGTAGCCAAAGCAATCCTGAGAAGGAAGAATAAAGTGGGAGGGATCTCGCTCCCTAACTTCAAGCTCTACTACAAAGCCACAGTAATCGAGACAATTTGGTACTGGCATAAGAACAGAGCCACAGACCAGTGGAACAGAACAGAGTCTCCAAACATTAACCCAAACATGTATGTTCGATTAATATATGATAAAGGAGCCATGGACATACAGTGGGGAACTGACAGCCTCTTCAACAGCTGCTGGTGTTGGCAAAACTGGACAGCTACATGTGAGAGAATGAAACTGGATCATTGTCTAACCCCATACACAAAAGTAAATTCGAAATGGATCAAAGACCTGAATGTAAGCCATGAAACCATAAAACTCTTTGGAAAAAACATGGGCAAAA